AAAGGAATGCTGTAATAGTGCTGTCTAATAGAAATACAATGTGATCCACAAATGTAACTTTAAATTCTAGTAGTCACATGAAAAAGTAAAATGAAAAGTAGTGAAATTAATTTTAATAATATATTTTCTTAAGCCCAGTATTTAATAATAAGATGTTTTACATCTTTTGGTATGAAGTTTTCAAAATCCACTGTGCATTTTACACTTACAGCACATCTCAGTTCTGACTAGCCACATTTCATGTGCTTGATAGTGTCATAGCATGGAATCTAGTGTCAGATGACCTGGGTTTGAATCCTGCCATTCCGTTTCTTAACTGTGTGAGTATGGACCAGTTACTTAACCTTCCTATACCTTAGCTTCTTGATACATAAAATGAAAAAAATAATATCACCTACCTCAAAGGATTATTGTGAGAATTATGAAGTAATATATGTAAAGCATAAAACTTAGTTTCTGACAAGTAGTAAGTGCAAAATAAATGTTTATTAATTTCATCACACTTCTATTGTTGTTAAATAGCAAACATCTCTTATTTTCCATGTCTTCTTTCTGCAAATAGTTGATTATCCTCACCCAAACATTCCCATTTAAAATTCTAAACCAATCACTAAATAGCAAAGAAAGATTGATGAGCTAGGAGAAAAAAGGTTGTGAGTGCTATATGTGGCATCAGACTCTACTACTACTGGTATTCCCCTGTAGGGGGCAGATAAATTGTTTTCAATTTGTTGTTATACTTAACAGAGTCCTCAGCTCTTTTCAACTTTTTTTTAAATCCTCACCCTAGGATATTTTTTCCATTGTTTTTTTTTTTTTTTTAGAGAGAGTGGAAAGGAGAGAGAAGGGGGAGAGAGAGAGGGAGAGAGAAACATTGATGTGAAAGAGACATACTGACTGGTTGCCTCCCTTGCACGCCCCTGCCTGGGCTAGGGATGGAACCTGCAACTGAAGTACATGCCCTGAACTGGGAATTGACCTGCAACCCTTCAGTCCTTGGGCCGGTGCTCTGACCATTAAGCCAAACCGGCCATGGCAGATCTTTTCACTTTTAACCTAGCATCATTATAGATGCTTTCTCTACCAGGGAATAAAATTCATGTCTAATAATAATTTGCAGCTTTACCGCCAACATTGAAATATTGAAAGTACTTCATTGTCTTTTCTGCTTTCAGCCATTTGGGGCCAAAATATATAGCTTTATTGGTGGTTTTCCTTCTAAACCCTAGAGGAAAGTGCACAAAATGAAAAAATACAGTGATTTATCATACCCTCTTGTGTAACTATCATATAGATAAAAAAATAAAGCATTGCCAAATTCCTAAATGGTCCCCTTGTACCCCCTCCCAATCAGTACCTCTTCCACTTATCCCCCAAATTAACCACTGTTCTGTTGCTAATGCTAATTACTTCCTGGCTTTTCTTTTTCATTTTACCAGCTAAGTGTGTAGGGCTGTTTAGTTTTGCCTGTTTCCAATTTTTTTTTAAATCTTCACCTGAGGATATGTTTTTATGATTTTTTTAGAGAGAGAGAGGAAGGGAGAGAGAGAGAAACATTAATGTAAGAAACATCAGTTGGTTACCTACAGTAAGCACCCTGACTCGGTATCAAACCCAAAACCTGGGTGTGTGCCCTGACTGGAAATCAAACCCACAACCCTTTGGTGCATGGGATGACGCTCCAACCAACTGAGCCACACTCGCCTGGGCTGTTTCTGAAATTTTTAAAAATATGTCTTTATTGATTTCAGATAGAGGAAGGGAGAGGGAGAGAGAAAGAAACAGCAATGATGAGAGAGTCATTGATCCGCCGCCTCCTGCATGCCCCCTACTGGGGATCAAGCAGCAACCTGGACATGTACTCTGACCAGGAATCAAATCGCCATCTCCTGGATCATAGGTCCATGCTCAACTGCTGAGCCACCCCGGGCAAGCTCTTTCTGAATTTTAATGTGAATGAAACCATACCTATAATTCTTCATTCAACATGTGAGATTCACCCATGTTCTTGCATGTAGCAGCAATTCATTCACTTTTATTGTTGAATGGTATTTCATTGTATGAACATATCACAGTTTGTGTGTTCTATGGTATATGGACATTGTTTCTTTTTCCATTTTGGAGCTATTATAAATGCTGTTATGAACATTCTTATGCACATAAGCATACCTTTCTGTAAAACACACCCAAGGATAGAATTGCTAGGTCACAGAGAAGGTAGTCTTGAACTTTAATAGATAATGACAAAATTTACACCATGGTTCTACCAATTGACATTTCTACCAGTGGCATGTGAGAGTTTCCATTGCTGTACATCCTTCACAAAAAAATGGCCATTTTCTCCAAGTTCAATAATTCTGATAGGTGTGTAATGATACCTCATTGTGACTTTAGCATTTTTTTTCCTACTAAGAAAAATTTGGTAAGAAAATATTTCTACAAATATTGACTAAGATGAAGTCTTTTGTTTCTAATTTTCCACGCTGTCCATGTCTTTAAATACCAGAATGAAGAGTTGATACTTTTTAGAAAGTATGTAAATTTTTTTTAAATTTTATTTTTCAATTATAGTTAACATTCAATATTATTTTGTATTAGTTTAAAAAGTATTTTAAATTTTAATTGGATACATGAAAGCAGTTACTTTGAGATATTGCCCAATATTCTTTCTTATATACTTTTTATTGGCTTATCTGAAAAACAGCTGTATTATTTCTCTTCATAATTATTAAGCTGTCATTCCAGGAATCACTACAGTTACTGAAATGAGAGGTATGGTCTGTGGTTTACAAAGCTGGATTTAATGAATAAATCTTTCCAGTTCTTCTGAGCCATTTTTTTTGTTAGATTATTATTATTATTTTAAATAAAGTACAATCATGGTAACTGATCTGGATGTCACTGAGTAGCTGGTTTCTGTTGAGTGAAGTAAAACAGACTTTTAATGGCTTGTGGGTAATGTCTGAAAGGTAAAGTGACATGAGATAAATGTCTATGTTCCATTCTGAAAATAGCAAAGGCATATGGAACCAAGGTTTAACTTAATTAACTAGTAATTTAATCCTGCTTTAAAAGTGCTTTCACAAAAAGAAAATTGTATTGTAATTTCTTTTTGCAGTTAATACTAACAATAGAAAACAATTAAGAAGATAAAGGCTTGAAAGTTGTAAATGCCAGTTCTGTTTTATAAATAATCTCTCAGTTTGTGTGTGCATTTGAAAAAATCATATATGCACTAAACAGAGAATGATTGAAAATTTTCTGGATAATTGAGTTTCTAAAAATACCAAGTTTGATGAAAATTTTAAATTTCTAAAAGAACATGTATTTTTGAAAACAGAATGATTTAACCTCAGATTTTATTCCATTAAATAGTCATTTAGTAGTAGAAGGATTTTAACCTTACAGGTTAGTTACTTTAAAAGGATTGCTGTAGCCCGGCCAGGCCAGGCTCAGCGGTTGAGCTTCGACCTAGGATCCAGGCGATCAGGGTTCGATTTCCTATCAGAGCATATGCCCGGGGTTGTGGGCTCGATCAATGACTTTCTCATCATTGATGTTCCTGTCTCTGTCTTTCCCTCTCCTTTCCTCTCTCTGAAATCAATAAAGATATATTTAAAAAAATAAAAATAAAAAAATAAAAGGATTGATGTAAACTTCATTTGAAAACAATTTAAACTTAGAATATAAATGGTTAAAATGTTAACTATGGTCTCATCAAATAAAAAGTAGTAAAAATAATATGCTATGTGTATGGTTATTTTTGATACTTAATAGGAATCAACATTGTACCAATTAAGGCTTATTTGCTTTTATGATTGGTTTAGATCTTGGAATATTAATTGGTTGCAAAACTTTCTGAGTTTAAACTAAATTAATGGTTGGTTTGGATTTTTTGAAACTTTACACTTCCTGTATAGAATCACAAAATGTCTGTGTTTTCTGGCACTTGGGGGTTGGTTTTAAATAGGATTTGGGAAATTTCTAGTAAAGGTAATGAATTTTATTTTAGGAAAAATGATGGAATAGAAATTTGGATGAATGAAAGCCAAAGAGAGTTCTGGTGTTTTTTTAAAAGAAGGTAAAGTATATGACAAAGTTAACAGATTGAGAATCAAAATAAGAAAAATCTAAAAATATTTTGTTGTTTTCTTTTTCATACTTGTGATAAATTTTGAAGCAAATCATTTATATGCTACAGTGTTGTCACATCTGTAAGCAAATACAGTATTTGAAAATTTAATGTTAACAGATTCCTGATGATAGTATGTGAAGATACTGGCACCCACATGTTGTGTATTGCTAAGCCTGTCAAGACAGATTAACTATGTGCAAATGTGTTTAAGCCCTTTAAAATCATTGGAGCAATTATATTTGACCCTCAGATAAGCACAGTAAGTGTGAGAGACCTAGATCTCATCATTTTTGGCCTTCCAGTGTTTTCAGGTGGCCTTAAAGACCAGAAGAACTAAGAGATATCTTCTTGAATTGTTATAATTGGCAATCTTATCACAACTGATAAACCAGACAACATTTTATGTTAATAATTTATTTAATTTAAATGAACCTACAAGTTCTTTCAATATGAGCAAGCCACTTGCAACTAAATTGCTCTGTTTCAAACTGTCTTTGGTATGTGCTGATTTTACCATGTATGGTAGGTAGATTATCTAATTCCAGTTATTATATACCAACTTAAGTTATTATATACTCAAAAGCTTTTTAAATCCAGAATTAAGTTTAATCCCTTTTTAAAGCAAAAATGACTACTTTATAGCACTTTGTTCTCTGCTTGGCAGTGTTTCATACTCAGTTCAACAAGGACTACGCTCGACAGTCTTCTCAGATTATGCCCCATTGATTTGTGTCCTTTTACTTTTAGATCCCAGCAGTCTACCTAAAGAAAGACTGGAGTAAAAAAAGAAAAAGAAAAACATATTTAGAGTATAAAATTTGGTAGTGACAAGGAATATCAGTCTTTAAACTTTTCGTTTTTTAAGATAAAGATACGGATATCACTGTGAAGGGGAATGTGGACGACTTTGGCCTGAGAGACACCTTGAGCATTGCCTCAACTGATTCCTTTGCTTCAGCAGCAGAGGTAGGACATGCATGTTCCTAATGAGTGCTCCCCATTCTTTTTCAGCTGGACAGTAGTTGCCACTGTACTGTAATTTAGTTTAGTAGCCATTTATTTAGCATGTGGTAGATACCAGGATGCAAAGATGAATATAACATGAATATAAGTTCTCACAGGGGCTCATGTCTCTGTAGGGAGGTGAACATGTAAGCACATACTTTAAATGGGCATTTTTATATACTGTGGGTTACAGGTGAGGCATATACATATCTTAATGGAAAGCAGTTGACCTTATATCAAGAGTCTTAAAATTGTGCAGATTTTTTAGCTCAGAAATACTTCCAAAGTGATCAGATTCAAAGATTCATATATAAAAATACTCATTTTACCACTTTAATAATAATGAAAAGCTGGAATCAGTCTAATGCCAAATCATGGTACATCCATAATTTAAAATATTATAATGCCATAAACATGTTTCTAATCATTTTTAATGACATGGGAACATGGGTTAAATGAAAAGGGTAGTGTATGTGAAGCTTATATGGAGAGTATGATTGTGATTTTGTAACAGAAAAAGAAAGGAAAATGTGTGTGGTATATAATTGTTTAGGTGGAGAAAAAGGCTAGATATAAATACACTAATGTATAAACAGTGGTGATCACTGAATTATAAATTTATGGGTAATTTGTTTCCTACTGAGATTTAAATTTGTATCAAAAGAGAATTCTTTCAAAGTGGTCATCTTTTTATAATTTTGTTCTACTTAAAACCGGTTTTTATATCACATATGGCCAATTTTATCTTAGAATAATTTCATTTTTACAGTAGAATTTGGATATTAATACTGTTTTTTTAAAAAAATATAAATAGTATCACACATCTGTAATTGATGTGTGAATTCATGCTGTAGTGTGGAAAACTTTAGCTACTCTAATACCCTAGGCCCTAAGCCTTGATTCTGCCTTTTTTAAAGCTCTACTGACCCTAATATTTCATCCTCTTGAGATTCTTTTTTATATGTATATTTTAGCTGCTGCTTACAGTATCATCTCCTGAATTATTTACATTTTTTCTTTTTTTTTTTTTAGTTGTAAGTTCGCAATAGACAAAATATATCAACTTGCTTTATGGAAAAGTTATTTCCTCTTCCTTTACTATTTGACAGGCTTATCTTTCTGTTCTTTTTTTTTAAATTTATCTTTATTGTTGAGAGTATTACAGGTGTCCCATTTCCCCCCCCAAATGACCCCCTCCACTTCACTCCCACCCCCTCCCCAGGCCTTCACCCC